TGACTGTCGGAGTCAGCATGGGTTCTGCATGGTGACAATGGCCACCCGCGCGCGTTGCGCACCGTCTTTTCCAGCAGAGTAAAGGCGCCACGTTGGTTTTGAAACGGAAGAGAACCATGGGCAGTGACCGTTTCGACTTCCAAGGTAACATTGGTTTCGTTGTCAAGTCCCTGCTATGGATATTGCAGAACGCCCCCCACGCGCGCGTGTACTCGCGCAGCGTTCCGCATTGCCCAGAACACAAACGTCGCCGTGCATCTGCGCGGCCATTGCCCCGTCGCCGCCGCGCCGCGTGGGGATTCTAGGAACTGAGCAAGTTGCCCATCTGCCGCTGCCTCGCCCATCGCTGTCGCTGGCTATGCGCCGCCCGCCGGCCTGGCCACCCCCCGTCGACGTCGCGCGCGAAAGAAATTGCGCGCGACGCGCGCTCGATTTCAATGGCCCACGGCGCGCCCATCGCACATCGCACCGCTCAGTTAATTTATCCATTTGCTGGAAGACCCGCGCGGCGACAGATCGCGTTTGCGCATTTGTCCGCGACAGACCTGTCGCCGCCGCGCAGAGGAGGTCACGCGAGATGGAACTCCCTCCTCACCTGACTGAGGAAGGAGCTACTCTGCAATCGCCATTGCCTGCCCATGGCCTACCCCGTGGCCTACGAATAGCCAACCCATGGCCCACCCATGGCCTGCCCATGGCTGTGTCCATGGCCTGCCCATGTCCCGCTCATGGCCTGCCCATGATCTAGCCATGGCTGCCCAGGTCCTGCCCACGCTCTGCCCACGGCATGCACATGGGCTGCCCGTGGCTAGCCCATGGTCTGCACGTGGCCTACTGATTGCGTACCCATGGCCTACGCATGGCCTGCCCATGGCTTGCCCATGGGCTCCCATGGCTTACCGATTGCCTACCCATGGCCGACCCATGACGTGCCCATGGCCCACCCATCGATTCTCGATGGTCTGTCTATGTCCCCTTCATGGCCGGACCATGGCTTGCCCTTGGCATGCCCATGGTCAGCCCTTGGCCTGCCCGCTTGCCCGCGGCATGCCCATGGCTTGCCTATGGGCCGCCCATGGCCCGCACATAGCCTGCCGATGGCTTACTTATTGCCTTCCCATGGGCCGCAGCACTTATGCGACTGATACCCGTAGTCGCAGCGCGGGGCTCGTCGGTCTGGCATGCGGGCGCTGGCGCATTCGGGGCGCGCGCCCGGCGGACCAAGAAACTGGCACACATTCTGGGTCCCTTGGGTTTCTTCGCCCGCCGCTCTGGCTGTTCCCCCTAGTGCGACGCATCCATCTGCGGGGATTCGTCAATCTGCCACGGGGGCCGCTGGAGCATTCGTGGCACGTGCCCGCTACTCCAAGAAATTGAATTGCATTGTGGGTGCCTTGTGGTTCGTCGCCACCCATAGCCAAGGTCAACTGGGACATGTTTTGTGGGCGGGGGGAAATTGTCATCAGTATCTTTTTGCATGCCGCGACGCTTGCAATGTCGACCGCCTTGGGTTATTTGGTGTCCACTTGCTTTCCGCAAGCGATCGGGAAACCGCTCGAGTCAGGGTACCCCGGGTTTTTTTTTGTTCGCAGCCGATGTGCAAGACACCAAGACTTTGGACCAATAAACCTCGGCGGATTTCGGGGCTGGGTTTCTTGCAGCGGGCTTGTGGCGGATTAATTTCCCTTGTAGCGCCGGGCACATTGGTCTTAAACGTTTCCAACAGTCACACATTTGGGGAGCGGCTCGTTTTCAATATGTGGTGCCTGCCTATGCGCCGCGGACGCTCGAGTTGAAAAAATCCAGAAATTCAACGGCGGAGGTTTGTTCTTTCTCCAGATGCGAGTCCCGCTTCTGCGCCGCGAGCAATCACGTTTTAAAACTCCCAGCAGCAGCACTGGTGGAGGCGGCTCTTCTTCAAAGTGCCAGCGCCTGCGTTGTTTTTGTAACGTTGGAGCATTTACGCGGACAGGGGGTGATCATTTTCAAAGCAGGGCATTCTCTATACATTTACGTAAATTCGTGCTACACAGTTTCACCAGCTGCACGGATGGAGGGCGTTTCGCTCCGAACAGGTCAGTTATGGTTGGGATTTCTTGCACGTTCATGATCAGACAATCGAAGGTGTACATCTTCAACATGGGCGGAGGACGATTCCGTTTTGAATCGGGGTTTCCGCGTCGGATTGTTTCGCCGCGCGTGGCAAAATGTTCAATGTTTGAGAACTTGTGTACACATTGAGGACGTGCATTCATGTTGTTACCAAGCGGGGCGATCGATCGTTGGACCCTGTTTCCTTCTACGTTATGATCTTGCCCCGCCGTCGTTTTTCAGCCAGAAGCATGGATGACAGCTCCTTTGCAGCACGGGGCTCTCGGAATTGCAGGGGCGTTCGTTTTTCGGCTGAGCACTTCCCGCGGTGAAAACGAATGGTGGCAAGGATTTGCGCCGAGTAAACTTGGCACGGGCGAACGTATTGCAGCATTTTTGGTACACCGTGGCTTTATTTTGATCCTCGTCGGCCTCTTCCCTCTCCTCCTCCTCCTCCTCTTCCTCCTCCTCCTCCTCCTCTTCCTCCTCCTTCTTCTGCATTCCTCTCCCCCAACCTCCCCCAACATCCACCTCTTCCTTCTCCAGCTCCTGTTCTTGCCTTCTTCGTCTCCTCCCCCTCCTCCCCTCCTCCTCATCCTCATCCTCCTCTTCATCCTCATCCGCATCCTCCTCCTCTCCTCCTCCTCCTCCTCCTCCTTTTCCTCCTCCTCCTCCGCCTCCTCCCGCCGTCCTCGTCCTTTTCGAGCTATTCGCCCTTTGCACGCCCCCCCTCCCCTTCCCGTCCTCCCCCGCCCACCCTCTCCCCTTCAACCATTCTTCTCATGATTATGCCCCCTTCCTTCCAAACGTCCACTCCCTGCCCCCTTTTCACTCCTCCCCTCGTCGTCGTCGTCGTCCCCGACCTGATCATGAACAGGACGCCAAGTTTAAGTGTGCGTACTTGCAGGCATGAAAGCACTGCACAGCAAAAGCAAAGTTACCTTCTCCTCTGCCCTGCCCCATCGCCACGCTCGAAACACATCAGCCCGCCCTCCCAGATCGGCCCTGCCCCAGCTGCTGCCTGATTGTTGCACGTTGGCGGTCGGAGGCGGCGGCTCTGGGGTTGGGCAGGACGCCTCCCTGGCAGCACACAGTGCGAAATTACTAACCTCGGCGCGAGATGAGGGCAATTCACCCGTCGTGATCCTGCGACTACATTGCCGAGAAAAACGGCAGCATATGTGTTGTGCCACAAAGGGCCTCAAACCAACATCGACGACACAGGTGGGGCTCTGCCGAGAACTTCGGCCTGCAGCAGGTTGTCTTCCTCCTCCTCCTCCTCCTCCTCCTCCTCCTCCTCCTCCTCCTCCTCCTCCCTCCTACTCCCTCCTCCTACTCCCTCCTCCTCCCCCTTCTCATCCTCCTTGTCTCCCCTCATTATCTTGCCCGTTCCCCACTCTCATCCCAGTGTTCGGCTTCCACTGGAGCGTGGCTGCGCCATCAGCGTCTTGTCCCCCTCCTCCGCCTCCTCCTCCTTCTCTGCCTCCTCCATTCCTTTTCCTTATGAATAATTGTTCCCTGTCGCACCCCGAGGCCAGTTTTGAAGATGGGCCGGGCGCTTCGCCTGAGACATCCTCACCAATTGCGACCATGAACCTTAAAACTTGGAAACAGCTTCACAGATGGAGGGCGGATCGTTTTCGAAATGTTGTTCTCGCTCTAGCGCCGCGCACATTCGTTTTAGCAAGTTGCATGAGTTTCACGGATTGAGGGCGGGTGGTTCTCAAATTGTGGTTCTCGCCTTAGCGCCGCGTGTTGTCTGCTTCAACAGCTACAAAAGCTTCATGTATTGAGGTGGGTCGTTTTAAAAATGTGGCTCTCGCCTTGGCGCCGCGCACATTCGTTCTAAACATGTGCAAGAGCTTCACGGATTGAGGGCGGGTCGTTTTCAAGATGTTTCTTTCGCCTTAGCGCCGCTCACATTTATTTTAACAAGTTGCAAGGGTTTCACGGATTGAGGGCGGGTGGCTTTTACATTGTGGCTCTCGCCTTAGCGCCGCGCACATTCGTTCTAAACATGTGCAAGAGCTTCACGGATTGAGGGCGGGCCGTTTTCAAAATGTGGTTCTCGCCTTAGCGCCGCGCACATTCGTTCTAACATTTCGCAAGAGTTTAGCGGGTTCCCATGCTCAACGTACCAGAAATCGCGTTTTGGAAGTGTTCCAGATTATGCGGGTGCAACAGTAACGTTGATTCGCGGCGTTGAAGTCCGAGGTATGGCGTTCTGGCACGATCCAGGATCGTCAAGACGCAACAGTCAGCTTGTTCCGTGGCGTTGGAATCCCCAGAGCAATAGTTGGGTTGTTTCAGGGTCTTCCAACGGCTGTCTTCCAACGAGGCAGTTCTGTCAGTGGAAATGAACCGTTGTAAGGGCCTCCAACACCGTTGATGAATCTTGGGTTTATGCTGGTCCTCCTCCTCCTCCTCCTCCTTCTCCTCCTCCTCCTCCTCCTCCTCATCATCATCATCAACTTCCTCCTCTTCCTCCGCTTCCTCCTGCCAATCTTCCCTCCCCATCCCCCCTCCCCCACTCCCCACTCCCTCCATTCCTGCGCCTCCTTCTCCCCTCCTCCAGTCCCCACTCTTCTGCACCTCTTGCCCTGGTTCTCGTTCTTCCCTTCCGTCTCGCCCCCGCTCGTCGTCGTCGTCGCCGCTGGCCCGTCACCATTAGCAGAATCGTCGTCGTCGCCGTCGTCGTCGTCATCGTCGTCGTCGTCGCCGCCGTCGTTCCTAGCGTCGTCGTCGTCGTTGTCGTCGTCGTTGTCGTTGTCGTCGTCACCGCCGTCGTCGTAGTCGTCGTCATCGTCGTTGTCGTCGTCGTCGCCGTAGCCGTCGCCGTCGCCGTAGCGGCCGCCGTCGCCGTCGCCGTTGGCGTCGGGGCTGCCGCCGCCGCCGCCGCCGCTCCCCAG